TACTAGCCATGATAGAGGGGCGCGGGTGGCGCTGTGGGTTAAACCATAGAGCTTAGGACTTGCCGATCAGAAGGTCGGCGGTTCGAATCCCCGCGACGGGGTAAGGCTCCCATTGCTTGGTCCAGCTCCTGCCAAACCTAGCAGTTCGAAAGCACAATCAAAGTGCAAGTAGATAAATAGGTACCACTCTGGCCGGAAGGTAACGCCGTTTCCGTGGCTGCTTTGGTTCGCCAGAAGCGGCTTAGTCATGCTGACCACATGACCCGGGAAGCTGTACGCCCGGCTCCCTCGGCCAATAAAGCGAGATGAGCGCCGCAACCCCAGAGTCGGTCACGACTGGACCTAATGGTCAGGGGTCCCTTTACCTTTTAGCCATGATAGATATGCTCTGCCTCTGCAGCCAGAGGAAGGAATGCCAGTTGCTGGAAACCACAGGAGGGAAGAGTGCTCAGAGCCTGCTTGCTGGTTGCCTACAGGCATCTGGTTGGCCACTTTGGGTTTTTGGGCTAGATGGGCCATCACCCTGATCCAGCAGACTTTCCTTATGTTCTCATGCTCCTGGCCGCATAAACCATAAGGACAAGTACTGGGCTCGCAAGGTCTCCCACTTATCTATGCCAACTTCAGTTTCAGAGATCATGGTGTGTTTAAGCCAAAGTCCTTTACTGGCCATACAGAACACTTTCATTCCATGCAAAAGGTCCCAGATTCAAACCCCAGCATTTCCAGGTACGTCTGGAAAAGATCTGACACCCAGGAGAGCCACTGTCAACAATATTGGGATAGAGATTCATTATTTTTTTTAGAAAAAGGCAAAGGCAAAGGTTTCCCCTGATGGTTTTGTTTGTATGTTTGTTGTTAGTCGTGGTCCATGTTCGCGACTCTTCGTGACCCCTACGGGCCAGAGGCACTTCCAGGCACTCCTTGTCCTTCCTCACTGCCTGCCGCAGTTTGGTCAAATTCATGCTGGTAGCTTCTGAGAATTTACACTGTCCAACCATTCTCGCCTCTGTCATCCCCTTCTCCTTGTGCCGCTCCAGCTTTCCAATATCATCGGGTCTTTCCAGAGAGTCTTCTCTTCTCATGAGGTGGCCAAAGTATTGGGAGCCTCAGCTTCAGGATCTGTCCTTCCAGTGAGCACTCAGGGCTGATTTCCTTCAGAATGGACAGGTTTGATCTTCTTGCAGTCTATGGGACTCTCCAGAGTCTCCTCCAGCACCATAATTCAAAAGCATAAATTCTTTGGCGATCAGCCTTCTTGATGGTCCAGCTCTCACTTCCATACATCACTACTGGGAAAACCATAGCTTTAACTATACGGACCTTTGTTGGCAAGGTGATGTCTCTACTTTTTAAGATGCTGTCTAGGTTTGTCATTGCGCATCAGCCACTAGCCATAGCAATAAAGTAGAATGTATCAAGATAGAGGTAAAAACTTAACTATAGAAAATACATTTTGGGGGTTTACATCAACAATCAAATGACAGATCTTTTTCTAATTGCCCCCGCTAAAAACCTTGCAGTTTTTGCTGTCACCTGGTCACCTTGATCTGCTAGAAGAAAGAACACAGTAGCAATAGTTGAGCAACCCAACATGGACAATAATAGAGGGGCAATAACTTCACTCCTTAAATCTTTCTAAACAGTGCAAGAAGCACATGAGCCATGGGATCAATACTACCATCTCCGCAAGGACATCACCATTTTCCCCAGTGGAATATTTTGAAATCGACCCTCAAGTACAGCCGAAGGCAGCATATTCAATCTTGCGAAAGTGAAAGCGCGCCTGTATTTTGGAATTGTTAAATTTTGCAGATAGGGTGCCAAAGTGTCAAAATGACCAGGTGGAAAATAATCATACCACGGACAAATTTTCCTTATTGTGGCCAAATTGTTCTGTCGGTCAGTATCATATAAAAAGGTAAAGGACCCCTAACAGTTAAGTCCAATCGCAGACGACTCTGGGGTTGCGGTGCTCATCTCGCTTTTTAGGGAGCTGGCGTTTGTCCACAGACAGCTTTCTGGGACCTGTAGCCAGCATGACTAAACCGCTTCTGGCGCAACTGAACACTGACACCAGAGTAGCGCACAGAAACACCATTAACCCTCCTGCCGGAGCGGTACCTATTTATCTACTTGCACTTTTGGCGTGCTTTCGAACTGCTAGGTTGGCAGGAGGGACTGAGCAACGGGAGCTCACCTTGTCGCGGGGATTTGCACCGCTGACCTTCTGATTGGCAAGCCCAAGAGGCTCAGTGGTTTAGACCACAGCGCCACCCAGTATCATATAGGCACTGTCTAATTAAATTATTTGCTTTACTGAAGCCCAGTGTTAATAACTGTTATTGTGAGAAACCAGAAAAGTAAAGCTTTTGGCTGAGAATTTTAGTCCAAGCACTCTCATATGTCATCTCATGCAGCTATGCATTTATACTGGCTGCAATTTATTACAAAGAAGAAGAAGAAGAAGAAGAGTTTGGATTTGATATCCCACCTTTCACTCCCTTTAAGGAGTCTCAAAGCGGCTAACATTCTCCTTTCCCTTCCTCCCCCACAAAAACACTCTGTGAGGTGAGTGGGGCTGAGAGACTTCAGAGAAGTGTGACTGGCCCAAGGTCACCCAGCAGCTGCATGTGGAGGAGCAGGGAAGCGAACCCGGTTCACCAGATTACGAGACTACTGCTCTTAACCACTACACCACACTGGCTCTCTTGCACAAACTCTCACTGAATGGGAATTGTGCAAGAGCAGATACGGCCCCTTTCTCCACTGTCTACCATCCACAGTTGATCTTAGGAATGCCCAGCCTGTGCTCTGATTGTCTTCTATTCATTTCTCTGTGTGATATTCCACGAAGTGCTTTGCCACAAGGTGACATTGAGGCTCCGCGACTGTGTTTTCTCTTCCTGGCAGTTGCTGCTTCCTAAGTGTAGCTGGTTGGAATGGGGGGGGGCGGTGGGGGGAGGAAGATGGGGCAGAGAAACAAGGATTTTCATTTGGCTTGCTATTCCCCAACCATGTGGGGGTTCAGTGCAGTTGGCAATGTGCATTAGCCTCCTAGAGGGTTAAGGCGCTAAGTTTACACGAGACACCCTAATGGTTGGAGCTGCAGTCTGTTGAAACACAAAATGAGCATTTGATCCCGATTATGAGCGGCAGTGAGAATGAGATGTTTAATGAAAGTGCAAAAACAGAATCGCTCGTTCTATGACTGTCCCCAAGAAGCAAAAAGAAAGGAGATCATCTCTTTTGCATCCAGCCGTTATGGAGAACAGCTTAAAAACCATTCAAGTAACAAAGTTGCATAATCACACGAGGTGGGTGTGTGAAACTACTTTTATTATAATCATTACTTCTTCATTTAGAAAAGATTCGTACTAATCATATACTGGTTTTCCATAAGCTATGGTTTTCCCAGTGGTGATGTATGGAAGTGAGAGCTGGACCATCAAGAAGGCTGATTGCCGAAGAATTGATGCTTTTGAATTATGGTGCTGGAGGAGACTCTTGAGAGTCCCATGGACTGCAAGAAGATCAAACCTCTCCATTCTTAAGGAAATCAGCCCTGAGTGCTCACTGGAAGGACAGATCGTGAAGCTGAAGCTCCAATACTTTGGTCTTCTCTTCATGAGAAGAGAAGACTCCCTGGAAAAGACCCTGATGTTGGGAAAGATGGAGGGCACAAGGAGAAGGGGACGACAGAAGATGAGATGGTTGGACAGTGTTCTCGAAGCTACCAGCATGAGTTTGACCAAACTGCGGGAGGCAGTGGAAGACAGGAGGACCTGGCGTGCTGTGGTCCATGGAGTCATGAAGAGTTGGACACGACTAAACGACTAAACAACAACAACAATCATATACTGACGTAAATGATAGGATGTGAATTAAACAGTCGTATCTTGGATCCCAGGGACGCGGGTGGCGCTGTGGGTAAAAGCCTCAGCGCCTAGGGCTTGCCGATCGAAAGGTCGGCGGTTCGAATCCCCGCGGCGGGGTGCGCTCCCGTTGCTCGGTCCCAGCGCCTGCCAACCTAGCAGTTCGAAAGCACCCCCGGGTGCAAGTAGATAAATAGGGACCGCTTACTGGCGGGAAGGTAAACGGCGTTCCGTGTGCGGCTCTGGCTCGCCAGATGCAGCTTGTCACGCTGGCCACGTGACCCAGAAGTGTCTCCGGACAGCGCTGGCCCCCGGCCTCTTGAGTGAGATGGGTGCACAACCCTAGAGTCTGTCAAGACTGGCCCGTACGGGCAGGGGTACCTTTACCTTTTACCTTTATCTTGGATCCCAAACGCCTTGGTACTCAGAAGTTTTGGCTCCTGAATGCTGCAAACCTGGAAGTGATTGTTCTGATTTGCAAACGTTCTTTGGAACCTGAATGTCCAATGTGGATTCCGTGGCTTCCAATTGGTTGCAGGAGCTTCCTGCAGCCAATCAGAAGCCGTGTTTTGGTTTCCGAATGTTTTGGAAGTCAAACGGACTTCCGGAACGGATTCTGTTCAACTTCCATGGTACAACTGTATTTTAAAAAGCATATGGAGTTCTGAACATATTCAGAACGCTGTCATCTTCCTCAGTGGGGTTGTTTGCAACAACCTTTGCAGCACCTGACTCTCAAATGTTGGGATTGTTGAAATATATACAACAAGAAATTAATCAAATTGAGCCGTGTGACTCAAAATTGGGTCTACTAGACCCATTTGGGGTGAAAAAAGCAATGTCTTCAACATTTCTCTGATGAAAATAGGGGTGTTCTAAAAGGAAAAGTGGGACATTCTGGGATCAAATCAGAAACCAGGATGGCTTCAGGAAATCTGGGACTGTCCCTGGAAAACAGGGACATTTGATGGTCTGATAAAATTGTTTCTGGGGCCCAGGATTATAGACCTTGGAACTAAAGCTTCATTAGTTTCATAGCAGATCCACTTCTGCTTGCTCCCACACAAGACCACCGGCTACCTAATCTGCCCTCTCCTAAAAATGCCATCCATTCCCATTCCCTAGGGATTCCTTCCTGGTAAAGGAAATACCGTATTTTTCGCTCTATAAGACACACCCGACCATAAGAAGCACCTAGTTTTAGAGGAGGAGAGCAAGAAAAAATATATTCTCTTGCTCTCTGCACAGAGCCTCTCCAGCAAAGCGGCAGGAGAAATGGAAGGGGCTCCATTTCTCCTGCCGCTTCACTGAAGGGGCGCTGCACAGAGAGGGAAAGCTGCGCAGTGCCTCTCAAGCAAAGTGAAGTCAGAACAGCAAGAGGGATCGCTGCTCAGCGAAAGCAGCGATCCCTCTCGCTCTCCTGGCTTCAGGGATAGCCATGCAAAGCCTCTTCAGGGGAGGGGGAGCGTTCCTGGCTTCAGGGATGGCCACGCAACCTGCATTTGCTCCGTAAGACTTAATTCGTAAGTACTTAATTTGTTCCGGAGGTCCGTATTTAACCTGAAACTGTTCTTAAGCTGAAGCACCACTTTAGCTAATGGGGCCTCCTGCTGCTGCCGCACCGCCGAAGCCCAATTTCTGTTCTTATCCTGAAGCAAAGTTCTTAACCTCAAGCACTATTTCTGGCTTAGCGGAGTGTGTAACCTGAAGCGTATGTAACCTGAAGCGTATGTAACCCGAGGTACCACTGTACCAGCATTGCTTTTCCTAGTAGCTGCCTTAAACTACCAATCGTTAAACATTTCTGAATGTTTCCCACAGTCTCCAGCTGTATAGGATCCCACTGCAGGGAAGTGGCTGCCATATAGCTTTGTCTATGTATGTTGATCGGTAGAGAGGGTTTACGTGCAGAGCTAAGCCGTGAAGGAGACTCCTGGCTCATTGACTTCTGCCCGCTGGCCCAGTCCCTTGGTGAGGGATTCTTCCACTTTCTAGGTCAGCCTTTATGGGAGTTGGGCATGAGTTATGTAATAGTTTTGTGAGGCCGCAACCGTGATTATGAGCTTAATGATGCTTCAAGCAAACAAACTCTAATGGCTTCCATCAGTGCTTTACAGTTTGCTTCCTGGAGAGGAGTTGCTGGTCAAGTGCAAACACAGAGCTGGATGCTGGCCAGTGTCAACTGGGATCCCATAGATCTTGTAGCACATTAACTTAAGAGCTCGGACGAAGCAGAAGCAGGACAGTTTGTTGTGAAGAATTGCCATGCCTCTGGCACGTAAGGACTAGGTAAAGGTACCCCTGACCGTTAGGTCCAGTAGCAGATGACTCTGGGGTTGCGGCGCTCATCTCGCTTTATTGGCCGAGGGAGCCGGCGTACAGCTTCCGGGTCATGTGGCCAGCATGACTAAACTGCTTCTGGCAAACCAGAGCAGTGCACGGAAACACCGTTTACCTTCCCGGCGGAGTGGTACCTATTTATCTACTTGCACTTTGTCGTGCTTTCGAACTGCTAGGTTGGCAGGAGCAGGGACCGAGCAACGGGATCTCGCCCCGTCACGGGGATTCGAACCGCCGACCTTCTGATTGGCAAGCCCTAGGCTCTGTGGTTTAACCCACAGCGCCACCCACGTCCCTCATGTAAGGGCTACAGGATGATAAAGCCTGGCCATCATTCTGAGGCAATTTGACCAAGCTTGCTCTAGAATAAACTTGTTTCTGTGGGATGTGATCCATGAGAGGCAGTCAAGTACAACATTCCTTGTAATGCTAGAGAAGACATGTGGGGGGATGTTTGGTCCAGCCAGTCGAAACTTCCTGTTCCTCCTGGCTGGAACATTCTTCCTTTTGCATGTGATAGAAGGTGGGTGTGACTTTACCTGTCCAGGTAACAAAAGGATGAGGCACGCAGCACTCTCTCTCTCTTTGGACTTCCTTCTACGTTTGATCAGCTATTAGCTAGGACTGCTCTACTAGCTCTCAGCTAGCAGAAGCACTGGGATTATTTCCCCATACAGGGTAGATCCCCATGTACATATTTGTAATTAAGTCTGCTTTCAGGAATCCAACTGTGAACTGATGTGAGTAAACTGATTTTATCATCTTTAAATAAGATTGTGGCGTCTTTATTATTTTTAAGAGGGATTCAAGGGAACTTACCAGGAATGTACAATTCAATCTGTCTCAGATAATAGTGAGAGGCTCGCACAAGCCTGCAACCAGTTATCTGCTATGCATGAGAAGGAGAATGTAAACTCTGCTAAGTAAAGGAACTTGCTAATGCAAGTTAGGAAGGATAATAATAAACTATATATCCTCTTCTGCCACCTTGAGCATTCCCACAGTTTCCTCTTTTCTTGAAATGACTCGGTGTTAATTAACAAGCCATCAAAGCTGGGCTGAGTATAATGAAGCATCTCTTGTTGGCTGGAAGCCTTGCCGAAATAAAAAGGGCAGCCTTTATCAACCATGAGTGCCCGGATATTGTTGGACTACAACTCCCATCATCCCTGACCACTGCTCCTGCTAGCTAGGGATGGTGGGAGTTGTAGTCCGACAACATCGGCTGACTCAAGGGTGATGAAGGCCACTCTAGGGCATAGCTCAGACCATGCACAGATCCCATTCATCTCAATTAGAGTCAACCAGGATGGAGTTTGTCCATTTGCTGTTGTGTGCCCCTCTCAGCCGGCCCAACCTTCACGGGGGACAGAACTATGGGCACTCTTTGCCTCTGTATTTGCCAGGCTATTATAAAATATGATTATTAAATTATACTGTTAGGTCGCTTTGAGACTTCTTTTGTATAAAGCGACAAAGAAATGTAATAAATAATTAAATTTGCAAAGCTAGGAAAGTTGGGGAGAATTAAAGGGGACACCGTACGCAGCTCTATAATATTTAATTCCTCCCCCCCCGCCTTTCTGTTTGCCAAAATTTCACCCATTCACAATAATAACTTTAAAACAGCGATAAAGGCCGTGCAGGCATTTAGAATGCACATTGTAGTTTAGCATCAGTAAATCCAATCAACCAGCCTTTGTCTAGCCAGAGGCCATTACAGAAATCAATAAAGAACAACACATTTGAAATATGATAAAACATAAAAAGGATGTAATAACATGGAATATTTTAGTAAAACTAGAGTAATATAGGGCTGCCCTTTTTATCTTTTTAAGGGGGACATTCAGGTGAACAGGGAGAAGTGGGGTGGTTTACCATGGGGCTGGTGGTGGATTCTTATTCCCCTTTTTTAACTTGAGGGGAGGGGCTTACAGTGGCATACAGGGGTTTCTTAGTTTTTTGTGGGGGTAACTTATTTTATTTCTTAAATCAAAGCAATATATATCTATGTCTGCCTGTCTGCCTGCCCATTTATCTTTTTGACAATATCAAACATCAACATTCTTTCCAAAAGAAAGTTAAGCATTTTAAAAGTAAAATTAATTTTATTCAAATATGCTGGGTCGTAATGTATTTTTTCACAGAAAGGTTACATTATTTCCTCCCGGAATGACTTCCCTTAAAAAAAAAAGGTGAAGGTAAAGGACCCCTGACAGTTAAGTCCAGTCACGAACGACTCTGGGGTTGTGGTGCTCATCTCGCTTTACAGGCGTTTGTCCGCAGACAATTTTTCCAGGTCATGTGGCCAGCATGACTAAGCCACTTCTGGCGAAACCAGAGCAGCACACAAAAACACTGTTTACCTTCCCGCCAGAGTGGTACCTATTTATCTACTTGCACTTTGACGTTCAATATACTCTATCAGTTTGTCTTGCCATTCCTTTTTTGTTGGCACAGTTTCTTTTTTCCAGTTTTTAGCAGTTAGGATCCTTGCTGCTCCTGTGGCATAGAGGAATATTTTCTGATCTTCTCTTGCTATACCTGTGTCCCTTGTCCCTAGTAGAAAAGCTTCTGTATTTTTCATAAAGTTATACTTCAACATTTTTTTTAAGCTCATCATATACTATGTTCCAGAAGCTTTTGTTTTTTTCACAGGTTGTGGTTTGCGCATTTCAATTTAGGGCTGAGCCAAATATGGAACAGCGTTCACAAACCACTTTGTAACATCTCCTTACTCTTTCATCAGGACCTTGTATCGCGTCTGGAAGAATACCGGAGAAATGGTCAAGAACTGTATGCGCTTTTGTGCAAGGACCATGCTGAGGTAGGAAGCCCCAACCTCATTTTTCTGCTCCTAGCCAAATGAGGGTTGAAGAAGAAGAAGAAGAAGAGTTTGGATTTGATATCCCGCCTTTCACTCCCTTTAAGGAGTCTCAAAGCGGCTAACATTCTCCTTTCCCTTCCTCCCCCACAACAAACACTCTGTGAGGTGAGTGGGGCTGAGAGACTTCAGAGAAATGTGACTGGCCCAAGGTCACCCAGCAGCTGCATGTGGAGGAGCGGAGACGCGAACCCGGTTCCCCAGATTACGAGACTACCGCTCTTAACCACTACACCACACTGGCTGGTTGGGCACATGGGCTACTATCCAGCAAGGGAGTTGTGGTGTTTTGAACATAGCATTGGTACATTTGCAGTTTTTTGGGCAACCTAAATGCAAAACATCAAGGGCAGCAGAACATCACTAAGTTTTGGGAGCCCATGCAGCATTGCTGAACAACATGGACTCGGAAGTGCAGGTGTCATTGGTCTGATGTTTAGTTGAATAAAAAGCGGAAGCAAGGGCTGATCTCTGCAGATTAGTGAAGGGTGAAAAATCTATCAGTTTCCCTCAGTTTCTCTGTTTGGTGATCTCCCCTGCCCCCAATGCTGTTGACAAAAGAGTTTTTCCACCCTTAAGTTCAGTTTGTCCCATTTCCACAAACATTATTCATCATCACATCATCATCATCATCATCAATCTTTATTACGGTCCAGAGACCCAACAAATAATTACAAAACAATACACAATTCATACAGCCTACCTCCAGGTTAAACAAGCATTTTGTTTAGAATATAGGGCTCATTTGATCTTGCAACCACCAATAAAAACTTTGCCACTGCTAATGTTCTAACATTTGTCCGGTCTTCCAGTAGGAACCTGACATAGTGAGCCTCTGATTTTCCCGAGAAAGGTACCAGCAAGGGTAGTATCAGTTCAGCCCTGGCTTGCTCATATTTTGCACAATGCAACAAAATATGACAAACATTATTTTAAGATTGGCACAGAAATTTTTATATATGCGTTTTTTTGCTAGCAATTGCCGCTATAATGCATTTTCAGTGCTATGCACGTTTTTTGTGCGTGCTTCCCCTAATATATAACACTTTGGTTGTTGTTGTTGAAAAGCTGGATCAAAACATTCTCGGAAGTGCAAAATTTCAAGGGGTGTCGCACTTCATTTTCCCTACTGGTTTGAGTAGTGTGTTTTAGGTAGGTAGGCATTAAAATGGAAAGCAGTTTCTTTTCCATTCATACTACAGTGTAATGTAAAGGACTCCTTTGCAGGCTTCATTTGACAGACCTAACAGTACGTGATTTTTTACACCCAAAACGGGATCAGGGCAGCTATGTTGGTTTTCTCACCTCTATTTGCATCAGTGGGTAGATTCGAATTTGGAACACGTACTGCTCACACACTCCCCTGCTTGGTGGGAAAGGAATGTTTTTTTTTCCTTTTAAGTGTAATAAGTATGTGATTTTTCCAACGAAATATTCTACATAGGAACATATAATAGTTGATAGGAATGGCTACATCAATTGTGATTGACAAGCCATTAATCGACGACTCCTTTTTCATTTAATACATTTACTAGAAAAACACCATATGCATGCATATTTGATTTTTTAAATATATATATATATAGAATTACTGGGTTTTCCTCTGTTGATTGTAATTATTTGGTTGCTTGCAATAAACTGAAGATGATAGTGGTGCGGCAAAACAATTTAATACAAAAACTCTCAATGAAATGTAAATGGTTGTTACAAAAAGGGGTTGTTGTTTTTTAAGTTGCTTGAGCCTGGAAAGCTGCTGAAAGTCCAAGCAGACTGACGGACAAATCGTGTGACCTTATCTAAGGCAGCGTCTTGTACCACTGGAGGTCTCAGGGCTGCAACCTCAAACCTGAACCTAACTTCTGGAGCAAGGGGCAGGGAAATCTTAATAATGGGGAAGGGGTCCTGTTTCTGCCTCCTTAAACATTCCTGTATAGTGCAGGGAAACTGCACCAGTTCCATATTTGGGGGGACATGAAGTGTAGGAGAGAAATCTGAGATAGGGAGGTGCTCTCCCAGTGTACCTGAAGGAACATCTTTACCCCCATCGTTTAGCCCGGAAACCTATGCCCTTCTGGCAGTTCCCTCGCTGTAAGAAGCGAAGCTACAGGGAACCAGGCAGAGAGCCTTCTCGGTAGTGGCCCCTGCCCTGTGAAACACCCCCCCCAATTAAATGTCAAGGAGAGAAAGAACTACAGTGGTACCTCGGGTTGCAGACACTTCAGGTTACAGACTCCGCTAACCCAGAAATAGTACCTCGGGTTAAGAACTTTGCTTCAGGATGAGAACAGAAATCGGGCTCCGGCAGCGTGGCAGGCCCCATTAGCTAAAGTGGTACCCCAGGTTAAGAACAGTTTCAGGTTAATAATGGGCCTTCAGAACAAATTAAGTTCTTAACCCGAGGTACCACTGTACATAACTTTTAGAAGACACCTGAAGGCAGCCCTTTATCAGGAAGTTTTTAATGTTTGATGTTTTGTTATGCTTTTATGTGTGTTGGAAGCTGCTCCGAGTGGCCGAGGCAAGCCAGTCAGATGAGTGGGGTATAAATAATAAAATTTTTGTTATTAATTATTATGTGGCTACATATGTATGGCATACAAACTTTTCTGCTTCTCATAGCCTAGGTTTCCGTGGTAAAGGTCTCCCACTTCAGCAGCCCGATGAAATCTCTGAATAAATGTAAGAAAAACAAGCTGAGTTTGGTTTTGAGTGTTTTGAGTCTTTCTTCACAGAGGTTAATGTGTGGGTACAACAAATCTGCAAAAGCCTGGGCAGACCTTGAGGAGCAGCTGGTTCGGAGAGGAGGACCATGGGCGTCAGCCTTAGCCCCTTCTACTTCAAGGTGGATCCTGGATGGATACGAAGGCCCTTCGCGGATGAGGAAGAGGGTTTGGCTCAAAGTCACCTATCATACAGCTGTGTCAACAAGGAACAAGGTGACATGCCTTGGGGCAACAAGTGGGAATTATCTTCCATCATTAATGGCCTTGTAAAACTAATCATGAGGGGCAGCTCTTCTCTCTAGAACGTTGGCACCTACAGTCAAACCTTGGTTGTCAAATGTAATCCGTTCTGGAAGCCCGTTTGGCTTCCAAAATGTTTGACGACTGAAGCGCAGCTTCCAATTGGTTGCAGGAGCTTCCTGCACTCAAGCGGAAGTCGTGTCGGACATTCAGCTTCCAAAAAAAGTTTGAAAACCGGAGCATTTACTTCCGGGTTTTCGGCATTCAGAAGCCAAAACGTTCCAATACAGGGGTGTTTGGGATCCGAGGTTTGCCTGTACAGTCATACCTCATGTTGCATCCACTTCAGGTTGTGTTTTTTCAGGTTGTGGACTGCCACACCCAGAAGTACCGGGATGGGTTACTGCCGGGTTTTGGCAGTTGCACATGCGCAGAAGTGCTGAAGCACAACCCGCATGTGCGCCGACGCGCAGATGCGGGTTGCGAACGTGCATCCCGCACTGATCACGTTCACAACCCAAGCGTCCACTGTACTTCTTTTGGTTCACTTGCATATTACCAGAACCCTTGAAATAAACTCGGACGGCTTATCAGGGGTCCTCCATCTGGCGGATGTTGCCGCAGAAGAGCAGACTCTGTATCAGCTTAATAAATGTGCTGGTCCTGAGGGTTAATCATGCGGCGAGGTCCGAGTCCAGTCCGAGGTTGAGGGTGCGGTATGGAGGCTGTCCGTCAAAGCTGAACTCGGGTCCAAGGCAGGGAGTCGGGTGGGGTCAGGAACTCTAGCAAAAGAGCAGGACAGGGTTCAGGCAGGAACAGGCTACCAACAATGTTGCTCCCGCAACCTGGGACTGAGGCTGGCTGGCTTTTATCTGCCCCGAGGCATAGGGCGGCCCTGGTCCACAGGTGACTCACCTCTCCTGGCCTGGAGGCGAGCACTCCTCTTGCGAGAACTTAGTTCCCTCCGCCTCTCTGCCCTGAGCCTCTGCAGCTCAGGAGAGGCTGGAGGGTTACCGGACCCAGAGGCAACCTCAGCTTCCCCTAACAGGGCTGAGAGTGGAGCACCTGCAGGCAATGGGTCCTCCATCACCTCAGGAGCCAGAGCAGACTCAGCTGGTGCCTGCACCTGAGGATCCAGCACAGGTGAGGACCCTTCAGGCTCAAGCCCCAGCCCCGGCTCAGCTGGTTCTGGAGGCGGGGACTCCTGCGCAGGCTGGGATTCCTCAGGTTCAGCGTCTGAGTCCGAATCCCAGGCCATCACAATAAACCATGGGTTGCTGGGGAGAGAATGATATCATGCCCACAATCTCCACCCTCCTCCTTCCTCCTTTCATTCATTGACTTCCATGCTTCCATCATGGTCTCATTATAACACTTAAATCAGGGTTTCCCTGCTGTCTCCAGCTGTTTTTGGACTACAGTCCCCATCATCCCTGACCACTGGGTCCTTCTCGCTAGGGATGATGAACGTTGTAGTCCAAAAACAGCTGGAGACCCAAGTAGACCAACCCAAGTAGACCCAACCCAAGTAGACCCAACCCTGATGATCTCAAAATGAGAGTAGATAAATCCATGTGTGATAAGCCCCATCAATGGCTGGTGCTAGTAATTATATGGAACCTCCATGCTCAGAAGCATTGGGCTTTTAAGTACCAGGTGCTGTCGACAAATAAAAAGGAAAGACTGACCACCTGCGTACCTTTCTTTCTCATGGAGGGCACTCTAGATGGTTCATGGAAGGGGATACTCTGACCAGAGTTCCAGTTTGATGTAGAAGTGTGTTGATCTTCCTGTTTTCCCTCGTTTCAGTTGCATAATTCCTCTGCTCAGGCTCATCAGCCACAAGACAGCAAATTTGCTATAACCCCAGAGGAAAGCCAAGGTAATATTCCAGGGCTGACGGCTCCATGAGATAAATCTGGTAATGTATGGAAAGAACAGGCAGGCAGGCAGGCACCAATCTGATTCCGAAACATCTGTTCGTGTTGGACATTTGATTGCTTTCACAACAATATACCAGGCCACGATGAAATGAATTCATGAAAAAGAGTGAATTAATATGATAAGTTTTGTCCGAGTTATTTGATCAAGATGACACCTTGTCTTGTAAATGCCATTAGAAGGGCCTGGTGCAGTTTGCTAGCTAAGCAAGAGAGCTGTGGTAGAATAAAGGTAAATGTAAAGGGACCCCTGACCATTAGGTTCAGAGCCTAGGACTTGCCGATCAGAAGGTCGGCGGTTCGAATCCCTGCGACGGGGTGAGCTCCTGTTGCTCAGTCCCAGCTCCTGCCAACCTAGCAGTTCGAAAGCACGTCAAAATGCAAGTAGATAAATAGTTACCACTCTGGCGGGAAGGTAAACGGCATTACTGTGCGCTGCTCTGGTTTGCCAGAAGCGGCTTAGTCATGCTGGCCACATCACCCGGAAGCTGTACGCCGGCTCCCTCGGCCAATAAGCGAGATGAGTGCCGCAACCCCAGAGCCGGTTACAACTGGACCTAATGGTCAGGGGTCCCTTTACTCTTTACCTTTATATACTTGAGCATTCAAACTATAGCTAAATAAAGTTGGAGGGAATTCTGAACATCGTAAATAAAGATAGGCAATGAAGGTTCCAGGCGAGTCTTCTTGGGGAGAGCATTCCACATAAGAGGAACCACCGCAGAAAAGGCTCCGTTCTTGTGTTGCCACCCTCTGGACTTTTTGTGGAGGAAGCACACGAAGAAGGGGCTCAGATGATGCTTTCAGGGTCTAGGTCAGTTTTGGATATAGAAGGCGTTACATATGCCAGCCTTGTGTAGAGCAACTTGTCAAATACCATAGTGCAGGCTAGGGAGCAGAAAGAGATCGCTCTCTTTCGCATGCGCCCACTTCTTTGATTTCTCTGCTAGCTGCAGAGGAAGGGAAACTATTTTCTGTGATGCACCCTTCCTCCAACTGTCCACTTGGTATAGGGCATTTAAGAAAAAATACAGTGGTGCCTCGCAAGACAAAATTAATTCGTTCCACGAGTTTTTTCGTCTTGCAATTTTTTCATCTTGCAAAGCACGGTTTCAGAAAAGTTTTGGAAAAGCTTCAAAAATCACCAAAGTCTTCAAAAACCTCAAAAAAGGCTACCACACTATGAGTTGCTCCTCGAAGTCAAGTCGCAACTGTATTAACGGTTTTAAGAAAAAGGAAACAAACTTGCAAGACGTTTCCGTCTTGCGAAGCAAGCCCATAGGGAAATTTGACTTGCGAAGCAACTCAAAAAAACCAAGAACCCTTTCGTCTTGCGAGTTTTCCATCTTGCGAGGCATTCGTCTTGCGAGGTACCACTGTACTAGTCTGCCAATTTTGACCATGAAGAAGGGACTTGCCCTCTTGGAAATGCAAGCTACTATGGTGGCTAGTAAGTTTGTTGGGCTTGTTTACCAGGCAAACACAACTATTTCTTAGCCATTTATTATTTACTGTAAACATTCTGCCCATGTTCCTGTCTTTCCTACTGATACAGGAGAGCAAAAGCTAAATGGAAGAGAAGGAGAGATGGATTGTGGTCAGTTGACATTCTTCCCTGCCCTGCATGAAAGTTTCCAGTCGGAAGAATTTTTGGAAATGTGCGCAGAGCGGAAAATCATCCTGCAAGAGTTTGTACAAGATGAAAAGGTACCATCAGTTGATTCTGGGGAACTTTTGTTTTGCACATCACTGTTCCCAAATGGGTGGTGGGGTGTAATTTGGTGCAGAGAAGTGGAACAAAAAAGCACCTCAGATTCTGTTGAGGCCTAGACTAGACCATGGGTAGACAAACTAAGACCATGGGTAGACAAACTAAGGCCCAATCGCCTTCTCAATCCGGCCCGCGGACGTTCCGGGAATCAGTGTGTTTTTACATGAGTAGAATGTGTCCTTTTATTTAAAATGCATCTCTGGGTTATTTATGGGGCATAGGAATTCGTTCATTCCCCCCCTCCAAATATATAGTCTGGCCCCCCACAGGGTCTGAGGGTCAGTGGACCGGTCCCCTGCTAAAAAAGTTTGCTGACCCCTGTCACTAGACCAAACAGTTATCTTGTGGTAACTCTATCCTTTGACTTGAAAGGATAGATGGGGATGACACGATACAGGCTGTTTCCAGATTGTTGCTAGTTTGTGGATGTTACTGAGTTATATACCGGCAAACTCAGGTTGCACAAAGTGAATTTCATGCCCTTGTACAACAAACCCGCTTCCAGGAGGGGGGGGAAACCCACCAGACTTTTTGAGGTGAAAAAACTGGTGGGGAAATACACTGGAAAATTTAGGTTATTGATTAGGGCTGGGTGATATATTGATATATCATCCAAAACTGGTTTGAAGTCCATATCAGTTTCATAATTTTTGACCTGGCAATATATCATGAATCATGATGTGTGTGAGTGTTTGTGTGTGCTATGCAATAATCACAATTCAGGAAAAACCATGAATCCAGGTAATGCCATCCTTATTTCAGGCATCGTGATATATCAGTATATTGCAGTGTTTAGCTGGTGATACATGTATGTCAGGATGTTCGAAACCAGATATTGCCCAGCCCTGTTATTGATTGCAACATCATATGCAGGGCCGGATTTAGGTTTGATGAGGCCCATAGCTACTGAAGGAAATGGGGCCCTTTATACGTCCAGCTGTCCTTTGTCAACAACAAATTGTTGCTTTTTTGTGTTGAATATATGCTATATAGTATTTTATGGACCTAATAGGTATCTAAAGCCATTTGCACATGTTGCCATGCAGCCAGTCCATGCAGAATGTAGGCACCCTATATATAGGTAAAGGGACCCTTGACCATTAGGTCCAGTCGTGGCCGACTCTGGGGTTGCAGCACTTATCTCGCTTTATTGGCCAAGGGAGCCGGCGTACAGCTTCCAGGTCATGTGGCCAGCATGACTAAGCCGCTTCTGGCGAACCAGAGCAACGCACGGAAACACCGTTTACCTTCCCACCGGAGTGGTACCTATTTATCTACTTGCACTTTGACATGCTTTCGAACTGCTAGGTTGGCAGGAGCAGGGACTGAGCAACAGGAGTTTACCCCGTTGCGAGGATTCAAACCGCTGACCTTCTGATCAGCAAGTCCTAGGCTCTGTCGTTTAACCCACAGCACCACCCGCATCCTATATATAGAAATGAGCAAACCAGTGATATTTTAGGGAGCAGGCTAGCAGGCGGGGCCCATGACTTACATCATAGGAGCCTACACAACACAAAACACTCTTGCTGTATGTAGGTTTTTTTTGTTTGTTTTTTATCTTAAATTTTGGAAATGTACATCCAGGGGTTTTTTCCCTTTAATTTTTTGGGGGTCCCCAAGAGAGTGGTGCCCTAAGCTATGACTTGTTTAGCTTATATGTAAATCCAGCACTGATCATATGACTTCCCTTCAGACGATTCAGAACGATTGCTCAAGAAACAGCTCATTTGCTATTGACTTGAATGTGTCTCCACGTGAAAAAACTCCGCACATAGAAAGTTAGATGCTAGGGAGAAGTGTTCTCTTTGATGAGCTAGTTTTCCATGTATAAGAACTGAGGGCAGCACTCAGACAGGGTCCTCTGCCTCCAGCCGTTCACAGTACAGTATGTTTATATTGGACTTGCAATTAATAATGTACAATTACTTGCAATTACAACCTATTACAGTGGTGCCCCGCAAGACGAATGCCTCGCAAGACGAAAAACTCGCTAGACGAAAGGGTTTTCCGTTTTTTTGAGTCGTTCCACAAGACGAATTTCCCTATGGGCTTGCTTCACAAGACGAAACGTCTTGCGAGTTCTTGCGAGTTTGTTTCCTTTTTCTTAAAGCCGCTAAGCCGCTAAGCTGTTAATAGCCGCTAAGCCGTTAATAGCCGCTAAGCCGCTAATAGCCGCTAAGCCGCTAAGCCGCTAATAGCCGTGCTTCGCAAGACGAAAAAACCGCAAGATGAAGAGACTCACGGAACGGATTAATTTCGTCTTGCGGGGCACCACTGTACTGCCTTTACCATGGAATTGGTGAGGAAATTACAACCTCCCCCTCCCCCCCCCCAATATATATCCTTCATTAACTGCAACTTTATATAATGGCATTTTGTCACTGTAGCAGTGCATTTCAGAAATGTTAAGGAACACTGTCGGGCCGATATGTCCATCAGTCAAACAAGGTCCTCTGAAAGTGATACATATATGTTTGCTTGGACTTTAGGTTTCTTGTAGATCGAGACAACACAATTAAGCTGTTCCCAACAGTGTAACCTCAGTGAGACAGGTTTTGCTTGCCTTGGCACATGTAATGTTGCTACCCATGTTCCACACTGCTTTGTTCCTCTGTGTAACTCCACAGGAAGCCACGAGACATGCCAGAAGCATTCTTTTAGCAACAGCTAAGTCGATACAAATTTTAGAAAGCTGCAGGCGGTAACATTAGCCGTTATATGCTCAGTTAGCAAGCTAATTCAGTTAGTCTGCTGGCCACAGAGCAGGAACAAGCTCTCTCACAGCACTGCTCCTTGATAATCACCTCTTCCGTACCAAATTGCTTGCGCTGGCATCTGAAACAGTTTGATTCTTTAAAAATGTTGTTGTATGTGGAACTGCGCACTTTGGGTTTTCGCAGAGACGGGCAAATTCTCGACGGCCGTAATTACTTTTGGGAGTGTTTGCATTAGGAAAGAGATAAACCAAATGGATCAGCTTCTTTCACTCTAAAGAACCTGTGTTTCTCTTTGAACCTGTCTTCATGCATTTACCACATGTAAACATGCTTGGTTTTCTTAGGATCGGGTCCTAAGATACCTCAGATGCTGGGGTTCTGAAATGTCTCTGTGCCGTTGTGTATGGTTGAAAAATAACTCCCTCTTTCCCATAGAAGGAATTAGCAGAAGAAAAGCAAAGTATCTGGAGACCGATTGAACGGGAAAGATAAAGAAGGGATGGGAAATAAGAACTACATTGTTTGCCCAGTCGAGATCAAGGAATATACTGAGATTGTGTTATTTCCAAGCTAAAGTCAAATAATAAAAACTCCTCCAGTGTTTTGTGTGGAACTGCCTTCAAAAATGTTCCAGAAAGTTCAGTTGGTATGAATCACTGCTTGAATATTTAACTGAGACCAGGCATTACAGTGGTACCTTGGGCTACATACGCTTCAGGTTACAGACTCTGCTAACCCAGAAATATTACCTCAGGTTAAGAACTTTGCTTCAGGATGAGAACAGAAATCGTGCTCCGGCAGCACGGCGGCAGCAGGAGGCCCCATTAGCTAAAGTGGTGCTTCAGGTTAAGAACAGTTTCAGGTTAAGAACGGACCTCCGGAACGAATTAAGTACTTAACCCGAGGTACCACTGTATGTTCATTTTACACCAGTACAAAATAATTAATATGCATAAATAAAGATCCTGAAAGTGTCTATTCCCAGCAGTAATTAATTTCTAATTAGAACTGATGCACTTTTCCACTTATATATGCACATTTAAATGAAAGATACATATAAAACTCTACCTCCATGATGTCAAACTTTTAAAACTACTTTTTAAAAAACCTTTCTAGCTACTGCCATTAACCATGTTTCTACAATGACAATGAATGCAAAGGTTGTTGTTTTTTTCCAGGGGGGGGGGGGTGAGGATATCATTCTTTACCCAAGATTAACTCAATAGTCTTATGGTATAATAACACTACAAATCTCTTTCATAAACAAAATACAGCTGCAAAAGCATTTTTGTTCTAATTGAAAGACTGATTTATTAAAAACCAAGTTCATAAAATGACACCACGAGGGGTGTGTCCTGCTACTAATAATCCCACCCACAGTTGTTACATCACACCCACCAGTGTGGTGGAGCATAGTAGGATATACTCATAGAAAAAATGTTATATTCCAGATAGTGAGCAGAAAGACAGCTTCAGTTCTGCTTGGAATTTACAACCGAAGAGCAATGATTGGCTAATACTAATTGCCACCCATCTGAAAGCAGCCCATTTTCAATTATATATTGAAACTGTATATAATCTTGTACCAACAAAATTAGGACATGTCTTTAATATCAGACGTATGTCACTTAAATCCTTTCTTTTTTGCATCCCTGAGTGAATTGAGCAATCCATTGCTCATTGCCCCGAGAAATATCTTTGGAGGTAATTATTCAATTATTTCATGTCACCTTTGCATCACCGAATAATTATTCTAGTAACCAATGAACTTGTTCTGTGTTCTGCTCTGAGAAAAGGCAAGTTTAGTTAATCTATGTTAATTTCAGGCTCTACGCTGCTTCATTAGGTAACAACACTATTTTCCCTGGGGGCACCTTTATAAAGCTACCTCATTTGGGTCCGAGCTTGGATGCTTGTTGGGGGAGAGAGAGAGAGAATGATTGAGACTGTGATGGAAAGACTTTGCTTCATTTGAGTTGATTCAATATGGCTTGAGAACTGCCAAGTTGGTTGTGCAGGATTCCAGTCCTCCAAGGACTCAAGTGCTAGATATGTTCTAAGGTAAAGGTAAAGGTACCCCTGACCATTAGGTCCAGTCGCGAACGACTCTGGGGTTGCGGCGCTCATCTCGCTTTATTGGCTGAGGGAGCCGGGGTACAGCTTCCGGGTCATGTGGCCAGCATGACTAAGCTGCTTCTGGCGAACCAGAGCAGCGCACGGAAACGCCGTTTACCTTCCCGCCGGAGCGGTACCTATTTATCTACTTGCACTTTGACATGTTTTCGAACTGCTAGGTTGGCAGGAGCAGGGACCGAGCAACGGGAGCTCACCCCGTCGCAGGGATTCGAACCGCCGACCTTCTGATCGGCAAGCCCTAGGCTATGTGGTTTAGACCACAGTGCCACCCGCGTCCCTAGATATGTTCTAGTTGTGTTCTGGAAAAGTCCTACGAGATCCCTTCATCTGTCATGGAATTCTACTCAGTATTGATCCAGAGCAGATTCCAATGTATAGTTAGTAGAGTAAAAACTTGAACACGTTGCAGGATTCCCAAAAAATAGACCAGAGGCAATTGTATTTCATCCAGCAGAGCTTTACTGCTCCTGAAGGCAAATGAGCATAATGGTCACAAATCCAATATATTCAGGATTGGCACAGTCCATAAGAAATCCAGTTGCAGCAGACTTAACTTAAATTACAATAACTTATAATAAGTCTAAACCTTAACACTAAGCAAACTATGTACAGAACACCACACCAGAAGGAAAAGAGATAGAAAGAGAAAGTGAAACCCAGGCTCCTTCTGGCCTTACTTTTATAGTCAGCATGACCTTGACAGAAAAGATAACAGAATCGGTTTAAACCAGCTGCACTCAGCTTCTCTGAAGGAATAACCCAAACATCACGAACCTTCTGCTTGCTTCTTTCACACAGAGAAGCTTCCAGTACCCTCTTGAGTTAAGATCTCTGCACATCAGATCAATACTTTCTGCACTAAGAAATGCAAACTGACATCATCTACAGCTTTCTAAGCAAAGAGATGGAAGCATTTGTAGGACGCCCATCTTCTTCAATGTTCATTTAGGTGTTATGTGGTCATCCACTGGGTCTCCTCTGCCTTAAAAGGACAACCGATAGAGTTGTCTCACAATCCACACAGACTGGTTCCTGCTTTGCCTGAGGAAGTAGGTTCCTCCCAGTCACAAAAGACCCTAATGTTTGTGGTAACTTGGCTACCTTCTTCTTCTCTACCCCTATGACTAGAGCAAGGACGGGACAGCGGGTTGGCGAAACTGAGGCTGTCCGGACACACTGGTCAAGCCAATTTGGCCCTCCCACTGTTGGATCCGTGCAGCCCCAACCTTTTTATTGCCTTGCTCCACTGCTACCTAGTACAGAGATAAATAATTACCTGACATTCAGAAGACATCTTAAGGCAGCCCTGTTCAGGGAAGTTTTTAATATGTAATGCTGTACTGTTTTTAACACTGATTGGGAGCCGCCCAGAGTGGCTGGGGAAACTCAGCCAGATGGGCGGGGTATAAATAATAAATTATTATTATTATTATTATTACAGTGTTACCTCGGGTTAAGTACTTAATTCGTTCCGGAGGTCCGTTCTTAACCTGAAACTGTTCTTAACCTGAAGCACCACTTTAGCTAATGGGGCCTCCTGCTGCCGCCGCACCACCGGAGCATGATTTCTGTTCTCATCCTGAAGCAAAGTTCTTAACCCGAGGTAATATTTCTCGGTTAGCAGAGTCTGTAACCTGAGGCAGTGGTAACCTGAAGCATATGTAACCCGAGGTAACACTGTACAAGGAAAGCTGCAGTCATTGTCACGAGGGCAGCTTCATCCTGTCTCAGTTGCTGCGAACATATCATTAATGCCCAGATACAAAATTCATCCCATCACTATCCAGATAGAAATGTTGCTGAATGTACCATGCTTTTCTGTCTATAAGACGCCCCATGTGTAAGACGCCCCCTATTTTGGGGGACTGAAATATCAGAAAATGGGGGGAGATGACAAAAAGTTGTTGAGCTATTTTTGTGGAGGATTGCCCCCCTTTTTGGGGGGGATTACCAAGGGTTCTTGAGCTTTTTTTTTTAGGGGGGAATGCCGGAAATTGCTCACCCACACACGTCACAAAAACCGCCTCCCGTCTGCTCCCTCACTGGCAGAAGCTGCCAATCGCAGCGTCGGCCAATCAACGCCACCCCTTGAGGCAGCAACCAATAACACACACAATAGCCGCTGACAGCCACGGCAGCAACCAATCAACGCCCACCCCTATGCACTACCCATATATAAGACTACCCCCACTTTTTAGCATGATTTTTAAGGGGGAAAACTAGTCTTATACAGTGGTACTTCGGGTTAAGAACTTAATTCGTTCTGGAGGTCCGTTCTTAATCTGAAACTGTTCTTAACCTAAGGTAACACTTTAGCTAATGGGGCCTCCCGCTGCTGCCGCACCACCACCGCGTGATTTCTGTTCTCATCCTGAAGCAAAGTTCTTAACCTGAAGCACTATTTCTGGGTTAGCGGAGTCTGTAACCTGAAGCATATGTAACCTGAAGCGTCTGTAACGCAGGGTACCACTGTACAGTGGTACCTTGGGTTAAGAACTTAATTCGTTCTGGAGGCCCCTTCTTAACCTGAAACTGTTCTTAACCTGAGGTAACACCTTAGCTAATGGGGCCTCCCACTGCCACGCAATTTCTGTTCTCATCCTGAAGCAAAGTTCTTAACCCGAGGTACTATTTCTGGGTTAGCGGAGTCTGTAACCTGAAGCGTCTGTACCACTGTACACGGAAAAGTATGGTATTTGAGTAGCAGGATATTGCAAAACAAAAGATTGTAAGCTAGCAAAGAAACAGCGTAGTAATCAATGATAGACAGGTGTACCTCTTTTCACCCGTGAAATGCTCAAGAATATTCAAATGGTGGCCACTGTTTTGTTGGTAAAATGTGCTGCCTGCTTCCCTCTTTAGATTACATGCAGGCAATCAGTGGTGGTCGTTCAGGGACACATTGTGTTGGAAGGAGCTCTTCTCTTTGGCCAAGAACATTTCTACATCTGCAAGAATTTCACTGTGTCCCCGCTGGGGGAAGTTTACTGCACAAAGCACTGCATAACCAGGTGAGTTCTTTCGTCCCCAAGATCTGCTCCTATATCAAGATAGACATACCATTTTACAAGAAGAGGAAGAAACAGAATAATTGCCGCACACAGGAAGAACAAGGGTATAGTTTGAGCGCCTCACTTGCAGTTCTATGAATCATTTAATGTGTCAAAACGAATAGGAGTTATTAATATTGCAGTTGTTGTATAAGGGATTATGATGATGACCGGAATGTGATTGAAATTAATAAGATTTTGGAATGCAGAAATAAAGAAAATAATCAAACCATCAGTTCTAGCATGCGGGGGGCCAACTTATCTAAATTATATCATTCGGTATTTGAACGATTGGTTTTAGTAATTGTATTGTTAATTGGTATTGTTATAATGAGGCTATTGTTGGATTGCAATTGAAATCTAATAAAAATTATTATCAAGATCAGCTCCTTTCTACAATGCTGGGGAACCCAACTGCCATAAAACAGCAGCCCTTGGCAAAACATGCCCTTTCTGAAGTGTCATAAAATAAAAGGTAAAGGTAAAGGTACCCCTGCCCGTACGGGCCAGTCTTGACAGACTCTGGGGTTGTGCGCCCATCTCACTCAAGAGGCCGGGAGCCAGCGCTGTCCGGAGACACTTCCGGGTCACGTGGTCAGCGTGACAAGCTGCATCTGGCGAGCCAGAGCCGCACACGGAAACGCCGTTTACCTTCCCGCTAGTAAGCGGTCCCTATTTATCTACTTGCACCCGGGAGTGCTTTCGAACTGCTAGGTTGGCAGGCGCTGGGACTGAGCAACGGGAGCGCACCCCGCCGCGGGGATTCGAACCGCCAACCTTTCGATCGGCAAGCCCTAGGCACTGAGGTTTTTACCCACAGCGCCACCCGCGTCCCCTTAAAATAAAATAATTTAAAATAAAATAAAATAGCCGCATCTATATCCTGATCAAATCCCAATTCAACGCCCACAGACACAGGGACCCATATTGGCATATTGCTTGCTGTTGTGTGCTTAAAGTGCTTCCACATCAAAGTTTTCGTCTCCTTTAAAACAAGTTGTTCTCTTGGATTTTTCTCCCGGTTCCTGTCTACATCACTCCCCCAAATTTCTGCATTTACACCCCTGTTCTCCTCTGCTTTTCTGTGCTTTTCTTTTTTCTGTAGCTTTTCTGTAGCTTAGAGCCAGTGTGGTGTAGTGGTTAAGAGCGATGGACTCGTAATCTGGGGAACCGGGTTCGCGTCTCTGCTCCTCCACATGCAGCTGCTGGGTGACTTTGGGCCAGTCACACTTCTCTGAAGTCTCTCAGCCCCACTCACCTCACAGAGTGTTTGTTGTGGGGGAGGAAGGGAAAGGAGAATGTTAGCCGCTTTCAGACTCCTTAAAGGGAGTGAAAGGCGGGATATCAAATTCAAACTCCTCTTCTTCTTCTTCTTGTACCTGTGATTATCTGTCGTTGTTACTTGCTGCTCCTACGAAACTTTCACTGTTGAAGTTAGGTTTGCCTGTTTGGGGAATGGCCAACCCAGTGCCCACTGGTGCTGTGAAGACTTCCACTGCAGCCACAGATGTCGAACTTTCATTTTAAAACAGAAAGTTAGTCTCTAGCGCTCTTAGAAATAAGGAGCCCTCAAAAACGTACCCACTACTCCAAAATGGTTGGTGACCTCTGGCCTGTGTGTATTTCTGATTTGAGCTTCTTTCTTTCTTTCTTTCTTTCTTTCTTTCTTTCTTTCTTTCTTTCTTTCCTGAACCCCCCAAAAGGGGGTAGATCACCGCCAGTTTTTACTTATGTGAGTAGATCACAGTCTCTTGGGAGTTGGCCACCCCTGCCCAAAAAGAAACAGGCATTCGGAGCCTTCAAATTCTTCTTTTCTGTTTTTTTTAAATCTGATTACCATATATTTCGCTCTGTAAGATGCATCAGACCTTAAGGCGCACCTAGTTTCTGGAGGAGGAAAACAAGAAAAAATATATTCTGAATCCCAGAAGCCAGTACAGCAAGAGGGATCTGGCTTCTGGGATAGCCTCTTGCTGTCCTGGCTTCTGGGATAGCCGTGCGAAGCCTCTTCAGGGCAGCGGGATGAAGGCTTCCCCTGCCCTCAAGAGGCTTCGCATGGCTAAGGCAGAAGCCAGGAGCCCCTTCTGTTCCTCCTCCCGCTTTGCTGAAGGGGTGCTGCACAGCTCTCCCTGTCTGCGCAGCGCCATTCGCTCCATAAGACGCACTTACACTTCCCCTTACTTTCTAGGAGGAAAAAACTGTGTCTTATGGAGTGAAAAATACGGTAATCAGGGGAGAATTCCCAGCTTAACCTCTAATCCATAAGGCTCCAAGACCTTGAGAAATGTAATTTCCCCAAGGTTTGGCTAACTTTCCAAGGGCGGCAAGAACCTTATGCCCTGGCACCAGAGAGAGGGGAGAAAGACCTCCTCATTCCCTGTGTCACTGCCAAAGGGCGGCAGTTGTTCCTAAGGAGAAGAGGCTTGGTTGAGCTGGAAGTGAACGGGGCTGACTGGAGGTAGGGGCTGGGCGACATCTTTTACAAGATAGATTGGCTCAGAAAAAAAGCCAAATTACCGTATTTTTTGCTCTATAAGACTCACTTTTCCCTCCTAAAAGGAAGGGGAATGTGTGTGCGTATTATGGAGCGAATGCAGGCTGCGCAGCTATCCCAGAAGCCAGAACAGCAAGAGGGATTGCTGCTTTCACTGCGCAGCGATCCCTCTTGCTGTTCTGGCTTCTGAGATTCAGAATATTTTTTTTCTTGTTTTCCTCCTCCAAAAACTAGGTGTGTCTTGTGGTCTGGTGCGTCTTATAGAGCGAAAAATACGGTACTTCTGATTTGGGGGGGCAACAGGTTAGCTTGTTTTGCAGAGCCAATCCAACATGATTGTTGATTGTGTACAGAAGAGGAGTAGAAAAACAAGGGAAACACTCCAATCTTCCTGTTAAGGATGACAAGTCAATGCTGCAGTCCTTGATTAATGTCCATTTCCTGTTTTCCTTCTAGCATCGCTGATACATTCATTCATAGCTTGTGCGACAAAGACCCAGCCACGGGACAGGCTACCTGTTCATGCCATTCCTACAGTGACATTAAAGAGATCCATCCGATGTGCTTTCTTCTACAGGTAGGAACCAGCTGTTAGCATGGACCTTTCCTTTGGTACAGGATATCTGACAATATGCGGCCGCAATACATGGCCTTGCGGGTGCAAGAAATATAGCTGTACGATCAGAAAAGAAAACGGAGGGGGGAATTGTAAGCATGCGCGGACTGTGAGTGCTTCTTTGGCTAGCAGTCGTGTTGACATTTGTAGGGAGGGATCTGAGCTATTTCCCTCCCCAAAGTTTTGGGAAAGCATTGCTGAGGGGGGATGTTAGGTGCTTCCCTTTCTGGCGATCTCTGTAAAAGAAATTCCACACTGAAACCTTGCATTGGTAATAGAATAACAGAAACTGTTATGTACTGAAGTTCTCACCCTGGGCCAGCAGGGGGATACTGTAGATAGTTATGCAAATAAGGGGTCGAAAGTGACGTTCAGTGATTGGATAGTTTTAGAAAATTGTTACCGTTACGTTGTACTGGAGCTCTATATAAGGAGGCTGGCTGAACCCTTCAGTTCAGTTCTGTTCTGGCCTCTGAATAAACAAGAGCTGTTTGAAGAATCGCTGTGTCATCTGATATGTTCACCCACAACTTAACAGAAACAAATTGTGGATTTTGAAGAAGACAAAAAGTAGAATCTGAAGTTTGGCAACACAGTCCTGGTTTCTTCAGGCTGAAGGAAAATGTTTTGGATGTTATTGGATGGTATTCAAGCATTCTTCCAAGCCTAAGAATATAGGGAAGGGCCTTGGGCAACTGGTGTTTGAGAAGCAGCTGAACGAATAAACTAAAGTACTGAGATTGGCTCAGCAAAACCACAATCTGACCTGGAAACCTGGATTCGTTCCTAACCGGGGAGAGCAAATGGGTTGCCTGGATGGATGGAGCTAAGAACTCCTTACTGTTGGTGGCAAAGAAAAATAGTTATAAAAGGGATTATGCCCTGGATGCCAAGATCTAGGTTTGGGGCAAGTACTTTTTGGTGAGAGAACACCAGCAGAGATTTAAAATGCAGGAAAACATGCAGGAAAGTAAAGCATGGAAATATAGGCTGTTAGACCTTTAAAAACCCTTGTGAGTTCTGACACTTCCTTAGCATAGAGAAAAAGCACACATTTGGTAAGTTAAAAATGGTTTACTCACAAACTCTCCAAAGGTCAGTTTCATGTGCTTTCCCATACAGCATTCGGGAAAAATTGCACAGGCAGTAAAACTTGGCTTAGTTACAGTGGTGAAAGTTCCTAAATTATAGGAACTAAAGAGTGGCTTGTTAGAGCCATCTGCTAAGCTGGAGCAACCAGCTTAGGCTCTTCATATGCCAAGCTTCTCAGGTAGACTGGAGGGGGGAACAAAGCATTTATTACCTAGTTCCTCTCCAAGATGAACTAAGCCTGGCAGGACAGCTTACTCAATGATCTTAACCCCTTCGTGCATTACTTAGATCATGCATTCCCTTTTCCATTGTAACCTCACCATTCTTCCATTGGTTTGTTCTCACAGGAGATTGCCTTGGAAATCTTCTTCAGAAGTGGCTACTCCATATTCCTTGTATTCCACAACAGTGACAGGACGAAAACCCTGAAAAGGTACCTCATATGAGAGCTCAAAGTTCCCAAAGGCTCTTTAGTGCACTGACGGGCATTCCCTCCTGCCTGATCCTGTGCTAACTTCCCCCAGTGACGCAACAATGCCATTATTCTTGTCAGTCTGTTGGACTGCAATTTGCTTTGGGAGCAAGAACTCTTTGCAGCCCTGTTCAGGGAAGTTTTTAATGTGTGATATTTTATTGTATTTTTGGTTTCTATGGAAGCCGCCCAGAGTAGCTGGGGAAATGCAGCCAGATGGGCGGGGTACAAATAATAATAATAATAATAATAATAATAATAATATTATTTGCTCCACTGTGACAAGTTTTGCCTTCAACCGTTATTAAGGTAAAAGGTAAAGGTACCCCTGCCCGTACGGGCCAGTCTTGACAGACTCTAGGGTTGTGCGCCCATCTCACTTAAGAGGCCAGGGGCCAGCGCTATCCGGAGACACTTCTGGGTCACGTGGCCAGCGTGACAAAGCTGCATCTGGCAAGCCAGAGCAGCACACGGAAACGCCGTTTACCTTCCCGCCAGAGCGGTCCCTATTTATCTACTTGCACACGGGGGTGCTTTCGAACTGCTAGGTTGGCAGGCACTGGGACCGAGCAACGGGAGTGCACCCCGCCGCGGGGATTCGAACCGCCGACCTTTCGATTACAAGCCCTAGGCGCTGAGGCTTTTACCCACAGCGCCACCCGCGTCCCACCTCAACCGTTATTACCCAGTTGAAAAAGAAGGCTGGTGAAACTGTAACAATATCTTGGAAATGTAGCTGAATATTGCAAAGCAATTTCCCAGATCCCTCCTTACAAACATGAGGTTTTATTTTTCGTATTATCAGAATATCAAGGCATGTATTTTTCTCCTGGACCCACCTGTCCTGTATTCCGGGATTTGTAGTCCACTGCGCAGCTCAAATTTCCAAAATATGTAAATATTTTACTCACCCTGGCAGCCCACATGCAGAAACCTATTTCATTGTTGAGTTATCCTTCCTGGTATTGCATGTGCACTAATAGCTGAAAAATGACTATCCCGCAATCCACACACGTCAACAACAACTGCCCCTCCATGTAATTATTTCCTGAGCCAGTTGGTTTTTTTCCTGCTAGCATATTTTGATTTACAATTGACTGAATAAGGTTATTGCTGGACAGCTAAGATATTCTGTTAACAACTTCCTTCAAATAATATGTGGGTGTATGAGCTCATATATTTCTGCTGTGTTTGTTGCTTCTTGTTGTCCCTTCTCCTCAGCCTTGTCAATGCTAATCTTAATACATGGGAAATGAACTGGGGTTATGGAATAATTGTATGTGGAGGGAAATTCAAGTGATTTTTACTTCCGTGTGTGTGTGTGTGTTCTACTCTGAGAAGCTGAAGGAGACGCAGTGGTACCCTGGTTTAAGAACAGCTTAGTTTATAAACAACTTGGATTAAGAAAGCTGCAAACCCGGAAGTAGGTGTTTTGGTTTGCGAACTTTGCCTTGGAAGCAGAACATGTTCCTCTTCCTGTTGAGTGTGTTGCATTTGTAAATTGAGTCCCGCATTGCTATGGGAAAGCACGCCTTGGTTTAAGAATGCTTTGGTTTAAGAACGGGCTTCTGGAACATAGACCAAGGTACCACTGTATTTGCAAGGTTCTCCCAGTCCTGTCAGCAGCTTGTCTTGAGCACATAACTGATGGTTGAACTACACTGGGGCTTAGCTGGCAAAACATACAGGAATCCTTAAAAGTTACCGTATTTTTCGCCCTATAGGACGCACTTTTCCCCCTCCAAAAATGAAGGGGAAATCTGGGTGCATCCTGTGGGGCGAATGCAGGCTTTCGCTGAAGCTTGGAGAGCGAGAGGGGTCGGTGCGCACCGACCCCTCTCGCTCTCCAGGCTTCAGGAAGACATCCGCAGCCTAGGCAGCCATGCGGGAGGTCCCCCAGGGATGTCTAGGCTGCGGATAGCAGCCTGCTTCCCGGAGCGTCGGGTGCCCTGAAAGCAGAGTGCCCGGCGCTTCAGGAACACATCCGCAGCCTAGGCAGCCCTGCGGGAGGTCCCGCAGGGCTGTCTAGGCTGCGGATAGTAGCCTGCTTCCCGGAGCGTCGGGTGTCCTGAAAGCAGAGCGCCCAGCACTTCGGGAACACATCTGCAGCCTAGGCAGCCCTGCAGGAGTTCCCCGCAGGGCTCCCCACGCTGCGGATAGCAGCCTGCCACCTGGCGCGAGGGGTGCCCTGAAGCAGAGCGCCCCTCGCGCCGGGCAGACACCCGCAGCCTGTTGGAGCCCTGCAGGAGTTCCCCGCAGGGCTCCCCATGCTGCGGATAGCAGCCTGCCGCCCGGTGGGCGGGGCGCCCTGATGCAGAGCGCCCCTCGCGCCGGGCAGACATTGGCCAGCCGCAGAAGCTCGGGGGACAGCAGGGAGGCGCAGCGCTGCCATCCCGCTGTTCCTCGACCTGCTTCAGTTTCCCCGACCTGTTTTTTGGGGGGAAATAAAGGGGGGGGAATTCCTTTATTTCCCCCCAAAAAACTAGGTGCGTCCTATTGGCCGGAGCGTCCTATGGGACGAAAAATACGGTAATTTATAAAGCAATTATGATTTCTGAGCATGAATCAGCCCTTTCTATTGTTTCTGTATTTTCTTCATTCCTGTTCAGATTTTATTCGAAGAAGCCTAATCTGAAATCAAAAGGCATCACGGAAGCATCAATTAATATAAGGTAACAACTGCATTAATTAATTCACTGATAAGCCTTTCGTTCTCTTTTAGAACTGTAGCAAGCATTTTAAAGCAATGTGCCCCCTGTTACCTGGGTGTGCTGGGAATTGTATATGGTGTATATTACTTTACACATATTATTCATGTGCAAACTTTTGTATGGATCTTTTTATCTATTAAAAAAATGTAGATACAATTGTATAATTAAGTGGGCAGAATGGATTTATGAGCGAACATTTGCAAAAGTGACAAAAGTGAAGTAGACTGTGTTGACTTCTTTTGCCCCCCCCCTTTAGCTAGCAGTAGTCAAAAGAAGAAGAAAAAGATATTTGCAGGATTGATTGTGGGTGAGAAGGTACAAAAGACTGAGGTTTGTGAAGGCTTGCAAAAGAAAGTTGAATCTTTTCTTTAGAGGAAATACAACTCTTGTGTGTCAGGAACATCAGAACAGCTCTCTACTCAGTCAGCAACCAGAAACCAGAGCTTTCTGAACTCTTCCTCTCAGTCTGGCTCATTCTGCTATGGCTTCGCTGTGTGGATGTGAATATAACAAGCGAAATGGTAATCCATTTCAACATAAATAATAATGGTAATTTTTTTGTTTGCCTTCATCATTTTTTTTTAATTCAGAGATGAGTGACAGTGATATGAGTTACAATAGCTGAAATAATACGTAGGTAAAAACATTCCAAGAAGAAATTACCAAGAAAAGGAATTGATCGCTGATTTCTTACTTAGCATTCCCAGAGTGTTTAAAACATTCCCAGTCTTCTTCACACTCATTAACCGTACTGTCAGGGCTGCCTCAGGTCCCAGCTCACAAGAGACCAACGCCAAGTCCAGTTTATATACAAAAATGTTTATTGAAGTCCATTGTACGCTCCACAGCCGAGGCGCGCAGCCCCATGTCTGTTACGCTTAGACCGCTGTTTTCCCCTCTGAGTCAGTCCCGCCTCTGCACCACTTTAAGAGGCTTGTGCTGCTCCACCTCTTCCTTTCTTTCCTTTTCCGCAGGGTCTTCCTGCCCCCTGGGGTTTCGCCCCTCCTGGATTCCCCTGACGCGGAATCCCCAGACAGCTCTTCCCCCCTCCTGCGTGCTTTGGGACCTGGCTCCTCCTCCGGGCTCCCTGTGCTTCCGCGCGCCTCCACATTTGAACTTGGCGCGCGTTCGCAACCTCTAACCTTCCTCTTGACAGTTGCACTACTCCCTGCACTACTCCCCTCCCCTTCCGGGAGGATGTCTTGCTCCGATCTCCCCTCCCTCTCTGCTTTAGGACCTGCTTCCCCTGTCACTCTGGAATCTCCACCCCCTTCACTGCGCTCTGGCGGAGAAGCCGGTCCCGACTCCCAGCTCCCACTTTGGGTTCCCCCGCTGGTTCCCTGTTCCTGACGAGTCCCCCCTGTGACTCCCCTTGGCCTGACCACAGGCGCCCCCTTCTGGGAATCCTCCGATTCACTTGAGAGACTCATGGAATCCCCCAAGTCATTGTCATCCTCTTCCTCGCTGCCCTGGGATACTTCCCCCTCGCTCTCCGTCTCCTCCCTCACCTGTGCCTCTGTCCCTGAACCCCTGACACGTACATATTCCTTGATTCACCTAAAGAATTCAGGTTAAACCTCATAGAGCAGAATATGCACCAGGAGGTTTAGTTTGGCCAGAATTGAGCATGCACTTCCAGAATCGACGCTAAATTTCTGGGAAACGAGCCACCGTAGCCGCTAGAGGGCTGTGGAAATTTGTTTCCCGGGTTTTTAGACTTGTCTACTCATGTTCTATGGGATGCAGGTGGTGCTGTGGGTTAAACCACAGAGCCTAGGGCTTGCTGATCAGAAGGTTGGTGGTTTGAATCCCCACGACGGGTTGAGCTCCCGTTGCTTGGTCCCTGCTCCTGCCCACCTAGCAGTTCGAAAGCACGTCAAAGTGCAAGTAGATAAATAGGTATTGCTCTGGCGGGAAGGTAAACGGCGATTCCATGCGCTGCTCTGGTTCGCCAGAAGCGGCTTAGTCATGCTGGCCACATGACCTGGAATCTGTACGCCGGCTCCTTCGGCCAATAAAGCAAGATGAGCGCCGCAACCCCAGAGTCGGTCACGACTGGACCTAATGGTCAGGGGTCCCTATGTTCTATCTGAAACCAAAGGGGCGCATGGGTTGCCAGATCCATTTTTTCCCTAGCTCTCCTACCCCACTGTTTAGTTGGAGCATCTTCGGGCCCTTTCTGCTTGCCTCATAGACCAACTTATTTTCTAAATTGTTGATGCTGGAGAACGAAGATCAGTTGAATCACTTGACTGCAGTAATACACCTGACTTTCTTCGCTCTGAACATAGAAACTCCAAAGCTCCAGTATACGTGCACCGAGGCCATAAAAGAAGCTGATAGAAATGGCAACATTCAAAATCGGGTGGTCACCATATGCAGCGACCAATAGGCCAACCGCAACTCTTTACTGGCATGAGGAAGGAAGGCAGTCTTGTAAGCAGTTTAAAGAATTTGGATTTGGATTTGATATCCCGCTTTATCACTACCCGAAGGAGTCTCAAAGCGGCTCACATTCTCCTTTCCCTTCCTCCCCCACAACAAACACTCTGTGAGGTGAGTGGGGCTGAGAGACTTCAAAGAAGTGTGACTAGCCCAAGGTGACCCAGCAGCTGCATGTGGAGGAGCAGGGAAGCGAACCCGATTCCCCAGATTACGAGTCTATCGCTCCTAACCACTACACCACACTGTCTCCAATAATAACTGATACTGCATTTGAGGTTCATTTAAAACAACAACAACAAGTTGGCACCCAAGTTTGGCCTGAAGCAAAACTTAAAATGAGTTGGGACATTCCTCCTTAAACAAAATATCCGAGGAGTCCTGAGGGAAGTCAAAAGAGTTTCAATCAGCCTAGTGCACTTTCTCAAGGAAAGAGAGAGTTCCACACACCTCTTCAAGCACTTTAATATAATATACAGTGCTACCTTAGAAGTCGAACGGAATACGTTCTGGAAGTCTGTTCGACTTCCAGAACTCTCAGAAACCAAGGCGCGGCTTCTGATTGGCTGTAGGAAGCTCCTGCAGCCAATCAGAAGCTGTGGAAGTTGCACTGGACATTCGGGTTCCAAAGAACGTTCGCAAACTGGAACGCTCACTTCTGGGTTTGTGGAATTCGGGAGCCAAAACGTTCGACTCGCAAGGCGTTCGGTATCCAAGGTACGACTGTAGTTTTGCTTTCTTACGCTCTTTGCAAAACAGGAAGTGTGCGAATATATTTCAGTGAAGCTTATGCCTTAAAACCATAGGCACATTGCCAGCTTAAAAGTCAGTGAGGTTGTCTGTGTTTTGAATTAGATTTGTGCATTGTATAGTTGGCCGTATTCCTAAACTGCCCCCTGCCAGTAGGTGGAGAAAGGGACCTGGATGTCTCCATAGGGCTTAGGTTTTCAAACTGGGTTGAAGCTGATCTGGGGGAAATGCAACAAAACACAGTATTTCTAAAAAAGGAAAAAGGTAACAGAAAATACAGGAGAGATGTGGACTGCCATACGTATGTGTCTTCATAAACCAGCCATAGGAACATGGTGAATTCAGAGCAAACAGAAGTGTGTGTTCACAGCTTTCATTCCCCAATTCTTTTTAATTGTTCGGCAGGTATTGCTCCTCCGAAGGCAGCTATCAACATGTTAAAAACAATACATGACGTCGCAAATCACAGTACAATTTGAAAACGTCACCCGAAGCACAACAATACATTAATTGTTATTTCTTTTACCATACCTCGCTGTGGAGGACAGAACCAAGCAAAACCAGTTTTGCGTTTCCCTTCCTTTTAAACGAAACCAAGGTTAGTTGCCATATTAACTCGAGTCTAATGCACCATAGAATCTAATGAGCGCACCTCTCTTTTCAAAACCTTGAAACCAGAGAAATATTTGCTGGCAAATGTAAATGCACCATTGAAGGTAATGCGCACCCAGATTTTCGCAATGTAATTTGGCCAAAAAGAAAGGTGTGCATTAGACTTGAGTAAATGTGGTATAAACGTTAACTTTGCAGAAACAAGGGCATTCCAAACTGGTGTGTATTCTGTGGCCAGAGTGCTTAGCTTGGGTACAGAAAGCCCTACAAAGTTTGCAGAAGACCTTGAGCAAGTCACTATAGTATTTTTTTTTTTTAATGTGCCTGAGCATGTTTGTTTTATATATATATTTCCCTCTCTCTCCCCCTCACTATCCTGATAGCAGCTTCTTTTAAGGTGAGTTGTACCCATTGCATGGTAGGGTTCACTGTGTGTGTGTTTGCAACACACCATGTAAGCCAATGATGTGTGTACCTTGCAACAAACAAGAGGAGGATCCAGGGCACAGGTTATCAGACTTACACATGCTGGACTCTACATGCCTGTATGCTACTATATGTTAAATGCAAAAGATATATGGTTTGGGCAAATGAGTTATTTCGAGAGATCATGCATTTGGACAATGGTCATATGCCTATATTTTTTTTTGGTGGTGTTGCGCAATCAAGGCCAACGATCGACAATTTGGGGCTGGTTTTGGTTGCCAGGACAAAATTCGCTGCTCTTTCTCTTCTTGAACTTACCCTGCACCTGTACATGAGATCGGGGCAATATTGAAATACTTTATTGTCACTTGTACAACTTGTATACAGTGAGATTACACGAGCACCCCCCACTCAGCTCTCTTAGTCTTCATTCCCCTCGTTTACTGATGCACACCAACCAAACCCGGAAGTCAGTTGCCCTGTTGTTATCTTTTCATTCAGCAGCCTAACAGCCCATGGATAGAAGCTGTTCTTTACCCTGTTGGCGCGACTAATTATGCTTCTATATCTTCTGCCTGAGGGCAGGAGATCAAGAAAGTGCCGACCAGGGTGCGAATCATCCCTGAGAATTTTCCTCACTCTCCTGAGGCAACGTTCTTCCACTATTTCATCCAGCGGATTCACGGGACAGCCCATAATATCTTGTGCTGTATCCTCTACTCCCCGTCCCC